CGTATTGTATTAACATTTCTATTGATTATCACAACAATATTTAATTCCATAATAATAATTTTTGCTAGTTTCGTTGATTATTCTCCATTTTTTAAATTTAATATAATTAATAATTTGTTAATTTGTTTATATTTAACAAATGATATCAAATGTAGACCAATTATCAACTTTTGTTTTCCTTTTTCTTTCTAAATTCATTGAATGATAATGGTATGGAGTCTGCTCTAATAATTTTATGTTCATCTAGTTGTTATAACACTTTATTTTTGAACGTTAACAACAAATTAGTAAATCGTTAAATAGTCTAAATCACATCGAATAAATGAACCACCACATATTACAAATTATATTTACAACTTATTTTTCATCAAAATAAAAACAATTAACTGTGCACAAACCAATAAAATATCCTTTTAAATTATATTTAAATGTGAATATGATTTAATCATATAAATTATAAACAAACATTTTGACGGTTGTTCAGTGGCAACAGAATTTAACAACTTTCCTTTTTTCTTTCCAAAACTTGATCTGCTTTCGGTTTTCTAATTCGTTGCACTAGCTGTCATTAGTAATTTTTTCTTTCCAATTACTTTCATAGGTACTTTCATTTTTCTTTTATATGTTTCTTGGTATTGTTCCACAACGTCAAACAGCTCATTTATTTTAATTTCGAGCTCTTCATTTAAATCTTCCCCATCATCGTCAAAGCAGAAATGGAAGAAGTCTTCTCTGAAATCATTTAACCTATCTTCTACTATTTTCAAAGTGTTTCTTATAGCATTCATCAATACTGTGTTGTACTCTTCTTCGAGTTCTGATCCTTCAAACAGTTTAATATCGATTCTTCCGTCTCCAATAAACATCCCGGCTTCTTTATTTTCATGATCATAGTTAGGTGCAGAAAACAATGTAAAAGTCAATGGTATACCTTCTGGCTTACCACCAAAGAATTCCTGTAAAACGCCATTTGGTACACATTGATGTCCTCTAATCAGCGAAATAATGTTATTTGTTAGACTAAATGATGAAATAGCTCCATTGCCAAATACATAAGAACAGTGTCTTGTATTGTTCACTTCAAATTGGAAATTTTCCCAATGATTGATTTTATGTACCTCTTCTAAGTAATTATCGGTGACGGGGTCCGACCACAAAAGGTCACAAAAAGACCACTGTTGGGTACTTCTTGGAATCGGTCTATTGAATTGATCTCGCCTATTAAATTCATATAAGGCGATATCCCACCATGACACAAAAAAAGTCCAGTTTCTTATCAGACAATTCGGCTGTTAATTTTGCAGCTAAGGGAAGAGAATCAAACAAATACATAAATTGGTCGTATGTGTCTCCGTTATACTTCCAAATACACTCGTTTTTGAATCCAAAGTGTGAGGTTATTCCACGACTTTCATGATTGCCACGAAGTAAATAGACGTGTTGTGGGTCATTGTATTTCATACATAACAATGTGATAATTATTTCACAGGAATACTTTCCACGATCAACATAATCACCCAAGAAAATCAAATTATGTGGAATTAAACCCCAGTCACTATATGTTATTAAAAATTATTTATTGAATTTAATTAAAGAAGTAAAATAGATATAATAAAACTGTTATTGAAATCGAGTATATATAATTATTAAATAAAAACGATTATAACTTATATATAAGTTATATCTTATATTTATATATATATTATACATAAATTATATCATATCATAACTTATTATTAACAATAAATTAAACCATTTGAAAAATATAATTATATAAATTTTGTTTATATTACAGTTAAAACACAAACGTATAATTTGTTTCTGTTAAAAAGTCGAAATACTGTCCATGAAAATCTCCAAATATTAAAGTGTTACCTTTGACTTGTAATAAATTGGGTTCATGAATTGAAATATCATTTACACGTTCAATTAACATACTTAAAGAAGATAACGAAACTACACCACCATTTATGAAATGGTTTTTTAACTCCATCAAGTTGTACTTACCATTTGTTAATATCAATTCCAAATTGCTTATTTGGGTTGTGATGTAAAATTTTAAGTTGAATTTTTAAATATTTAAATATTAAAACTAGCAGATAAACTAAATAGTTTTTATAATATATTTATTATAAATAATCATTGATTTATATTTTATTTAATAATAATGTAGTTTAAAACTTATTTCAAAACAATTAAATGAATTTATTACACATTTTTTTTGATCATAACTGTACGATTTTTATTTTACATTTTGTTAATATCACACATTTTTTTGAATAAAATTTAATTATTAAATTATATTTTACTCGTTTAAAACACGAATAAATATACAAGCTTTTCCTTCCCTATCATTACTTTAACTAAAATATTTTATTTTCTTACTTTTTCATTTTTTTAAGATTGAAAAATTTGTTTGTGCATTCAAATAATACTCAATTCTATTTTTTAAATAAAGTCAAGTAATACGCGTTAACATAATACAAGAGAATTACATATATTGTGGATAAACATATAAATGATTAATGTAAAACTTTTTAATCATTTTAGGCTCCAAACAACTCTTAATTTATTGACTTAAAACAATGTGTAACTTGTTTAATTCAAAAATTAGTATTTTTCTTGAACTGAAACTAATATATGTTAAAAATAGTTATTAATTAAAAAATAAATATAGAGTAAAATGAAAAATATTATTGTCGTTTTAAAACCAATTAAATTTCATTATTTAGTTAGATAATTTTTGTATTAACTCAATGACAGTTTCGATATCAGGTCTGTCAACCGGGCATTGTTTCCAACACATTTCGACAATTTCGAAAATATCTTGTGGCATGTTTTCTTTTTTCTGAACTCTTTTTCCAGAATTTACAAATTCAGCAATTTTCCATGGAAACTTAAAATTTGTTTTTGGATAAATATCACCCCATCCAATAGTTTCAAACATTGTAATACCAAATGAGTATATATCTGCGGCTTTTTTATATTTTTCTTGTTTTAATA